ATGCAGAGAGTGGCTGAGAGAGACAGTGTGGACAACTGTCACACTGAGTAATAACAATATGATAAACCGCTATGTAGATGATCCTCTGCTCCCCCGCAGTGACGCTATGCATCATCTGCAATAAACATCTGCAGTTTTCTAAATAATGATCCACAACTTCGCAGAAAGAAAATGTTCAGGATTTTCTTGATCTACTGCTAGAAGTACACAGATGTGAGGTCATGTTCTGCAGTGCACTGCAGGCAAACACCACCACCACATACAAGCAAACAAAGTACAGTTAGTACAGTGTTTATATAAAACCCAAATACCTCTTAAGGTGAGCCAGCTACCACAGGTAAAAGATGCCTTTACACAGGTGTTCCTGAATGCATAGGTGCTATAAATCATGCTGGTATGACAAACCTATCAACGCACATTAACTGTAAGACAGCGATCCCTGAAGAATCTCCTCAACATCTTTATTTCCTGTCGATTGGTAATTTGTTAAAGTGATGTGACTTCTGACTCCTTTGTTCGAGGAATGTGATTTGTCCAAACGTTCCCAAGGGTACACTATGAGTTTCCCACAATAACAAAGTCACCAAATGTGACAAACAGTCTAAGAGCCAAAAATTGTATACACCCAAAAAAAAAAAAAAAAAAAACCCCACAGCTTTTGAAAGTTTAAGTGTTTTTCCCCCAGATCAGATTTTTTTAAAGAAAGGGAACACCCCATGTTTGAGGCGTTAGTTCATCCTAAACCCACCCTGCGATAACCAAACCTTCAAGCTAGAATCTGCAATAAATAATGAACATACATAAGATCAGGCTGGTTTTGGAGAACCCGCCCGATACCTGCCAAACAGTTTGAAACGCTGTGGGTACAGAGATCTGACGCCCTTTAAATGTACTAAAATGTATTTTGTATGAAGTTAAACCGATAAAAACTATCCATTGGTTAATTTACAGAATAACTTCTTTGCAAGTAACAGTATAAAAAATGTGTAGACTGCACAGCCTAAGGCACTATACGACCTCAGCCTGTTGGGACATGTTTTATGTAGAAAAACTAAAACCCGTCCGTTCAAAAGGAGGGAAACAACACAAAACTTCCTTGTCCCACGAAATGGCACAGTTTAAAAAGAACTACAGATGCTTTCAATGTTTCAAAGAAGACAGATGCCGCTAAAACAGAAAAAAGAATCAGCTGAGAAATGTGTTGGCTCACCAACCATCGACACGGCAGCCTCAACAACACAGCGCTTCCTCGCCCAGGTTCACTGCTCGGCTTCCAGGTAAGACGTTCCCAGGAAAAGCTGTGTATCTCGCGGATGTGTCCCTGCCCTGATCCTGGAAAGCCTGGAACATAAATGCCGTTTCGCCGTGTGCTTGGCCCTGAAGCTCGCAGGCAGTTGGGGAATGCGGAAAACACCAC